AATAAAATTTAATAATAATTAAAAAAAAAACTGGCCCCTACTGGCAACATAACCAAAGTATGTGAGACAGAGTCTCAAAATCCTTGCCTCCAAGGAGCAGCTTGGTTTCACCTGTTCTAGGACAGACCTGCTTGGTCTCTTCGAAGTCCATAGAATGTTCAGTATTCTTCTTTGGTCATTGTCCAGCTCTCTACTACATTGAAGTAATTGCAAAGACCATGGCCTGGATCAGGTGCACCTTTGCATCCTGTATCTATTTGGCTTATATGAGAGTTTAAAATTAAAGGCACTTGTGTGTATAAAAATAGAGCAGTCTAAAAAAAAGATAAATAGAGCAGTCTAATAATGAAGGCTTAGCTTCATTTTAAAGTCTTGTTGAGTCACAAATGTATATTCAAAGCTGTCTTTCCAAGCTCTGTCCCTTTAACCTGGATTACCTGGAAGACAGATGTTCCTTTTACCTTAGGTTTAGCAGGTGCAGGCTAGATAATCTATTTTCAAAGGATCATTTTCATTACAATTAATTTGATGCAAGATGCTATAGTCTGGAGGGCCTTGATGTACAGCATTGTGGATAGATTTTTACAATAGAATCCAGAAATAGAAAAGATTGAGGAAGAGATTTTACAATTCTGAGAAATTCTTGTCACTATCCTGGAGCCACTCTGTGATCAACTGAATGGGATGTACCTTTGACAAATTATGTAAACTCTGACTTTATGGAAGCTGCCAAATTCTAGGTCCTAAAAAATGCTGAGTTTAACTGTCCTCATGATCCTTCAATCAGTTATGACTAATATTGAGTTCCCACTCCATGTGCACAAGAACTTACTCTCTTTCCTTTAGGCTGGTGAAACAGCCATTTTCATTCTGTGACGATTTCAATCCCTCAATAAACTTAATTTGCTTTAAGCAGACGTAAATGATGTGATATTCTTTTGTAACAAACTACAACAAAACATGACCTCTGGGAAAACTTTGTTGATGTCCCATAGCTCCCAGACCCAAGAAATGGAAAGTCCCCAAGGTAAAGAGACTGCTCGTCAAGATTTGGAAATGTAAGGCTCTGATTTTAGGCTCCCTTACTCACACACGCAAGTGGCTTTTAGACTTCCATGTACAATGGCTGAAAAATATTGCCTAGCCTTTCAGCTGAGTAGCCTCTCCAAACTTTAGAGCTGCAGCACAATAACCGTTTGTACCCTCCATGACTGTTCATGTAACATAGCCTACACCTGAACTCTCTGAACAGAAATCACAGACCCCACTACAACCTGCAAACCTGATTCTCGCGAGAGTAGTAACCCCGTGAAGGTCCAACTATCGCGCGAGAGGCAGTAACCTCGTTAAGTCCCACCCCAGGGCTCAGTGGTGTCGACTTTAGCGGAGGATATGGCGGGAGCTCGGTTTCCGTGTGGAAGGCTTGATCAACAGCAAGATTTAGAAGTACACAAGCTGATTCGGCATGTGACAGGCCTGCAGGATGAAACTGACTCTAACTTCCAACTCGCTCTACATTTTGCTTGGTCCAACTTCAGGTATGTTGGCGCGTTGAACAAGCGGGTTTTTGGGCCAGTCACCACCGAATGTTGGAGCCCGCTGTTCGTGACAGATGAGGTGTTTTGGGGTGGGCACAGATGGCCACTGGAAAACTCTAGGAGGTGCCGTTGCTGCTTTTCCGCAGGATGCCCGCGCCGCACACACACGTGTGTCATCACACACACAGTTGAGATTGTTGAGTGTCCCAGCAGGTCTTTGTCCCCGTGCACTTAAAACGGAATGGGTGGGTAAATTAATTTTCAGAGTAAACAAATGATCTTTCCCTGTTTAGCATTGCATTCTCACTTACTCGCTCTTCCTGCTTAGGCCACTCCTGACCGCTCTTACCCAGGCTGCCTGGGGAGATACAGGGGAAGGAACATACAGGGTAGAGGAGGGGAGCGCGGAAGATGGAAACGGCTCCTTCGCATGGCGAAGAGAATCAGAAAGACCATTAGGAAAAGAGCCCCATGGCCTCGGAGAGGACAACGCCGAGAGCTGCTGCTTCAGAGAAAGATTCCTTGAAAACTAGTGAGAGACTCCCTTACACAGCTCCAGAGCCAGTCACTCCGACTGGGGCAGCCCCAGCCCTAATAAACTTGCCTGCAGTGTCAGTGTCCCTTGAGATGGTTCTGGTTGGACGCGATGATTAGGGATAAATGAAATCAAGGAACGTGGGACTGTCAGGCAGCAGAAGTTCTCATCTGTCAGTGTCTCTGGTTATTTCAGCACTACTGCAGACAGTGGATGGCTTCGCAGTTGAAAGGCATCCCTGACGAAGGAGTGGCATACACTTTTCAACGATGAGGGACTGTGGCAGGGAAACAGCTCCTAATGCAGAGAAGACAGGGGGCACCACCACTAGTTTTAATGCAAGTTCACTGAGGATAGGCCTCGATCATGGTACATTTTGTTCATAGTTAAGTCTAGCACCTAGAAGTTACTGACAGAGTACTCAAGGATAACTTAAACTACAGCTCATCTAATTAGCTTTTAATTAAATTCAAAACGTTGCCTGATTTTGGTATTAAGGTTATGCTTGCTTCATAGAATGACCCTGGGAGTGTTCCTTTTGTTTTGCTTTTAAACAGTATTGTGATAGAATTTATTTAAGTAGAATTGGTGATAGATCATCTCTGAGTTCACCCGTGAAACTGTCTGGATCAGGAATTTTGAGGGAGGGAAGGGGCGATAAAAAGAGTCTTTTTATGACCTTATCAGTTTCTTCTTTTTGTGATGAAAGTTTGTTCAAGTGTTCTACTTCTGTCTATTTCAATTTGGGTAGAGTCTGGGTTTCTAGGAATTTGTCCATTTTTTTCTAGAATTTATCAAAGTTTAGCTTTTCATAATATTCCGGTATTAATTGATTTCATGTCAGCTGGTTCTGTTGTGATGTCATCTGTTTCATTTTCTATGCAAGTTATTTGTATCTTCTCTTTCTTTTGTTAAGTTTGCCAATGTTTTGTCATTTAATTAACCCTTTCAAAGATCCAACTCCTGGTCTTATTGATGGTTTAATTTGTCTGTTTTCTAACCTATTGGTTGCATCCCTTATCTTTCCTGGTCTGTTTCCTGGAGGTGGTAACTAGTTTCATTCGATGTTGATTAGGCCTTGACGGCACTTAACAACAACAACATGTTGATTGGAAACATCCACTTCCTAAACAACATGCCTCCAGAAACTATGAACTTTGATAAGGCTTCAGGCCTTTTGTTTGTTCATAGAATCGCTGTGAGTCATGCTTGACTAAAAGACAATCAATCATCAACAACAACATGTTGAAAGTTTCTACTATATCATCCTTATTGCTATTTGTATTTTCGTACTTTTCTATTGTTTCTAGTATTGTGTTGGTTGTACCCTGTCTGTCTTGTATTGATTTTAAAAATTATTTTATCTCTTTTCTTACGATTTTGTTTCTCTTTTCCATCATTCCCCCCCCCCCCATAATTTTGTAACGTATTCAGTACCAATTCTTGAAACTCCACATTGGTGTATTTCTTGTACCTTCCTGCCTCTAGAGTATTCATTAAGTCTGCTTTTTTTGGCAAAGGGGTTTTGTTTTTTGTGATATTTGAATATGATTGTTGTTTCTATGACATTATGTGGGTTTCTTTTTTAAAAAAATATTATTTTATTAATTTTAATGAACATTTACAGAGATTTTGGATTTTCATTCATTCATTGTTGCACTTTTTTTTTACTCCCCTCCCCTCAGTTCATTCCGTCAGAGTAGGGAGTTAGGTACCAATTCTTTATTTTTGTACTATTAGTTACCTGAGTGGAGTTTTCTCAGCTTTTCTTCTCTGGCAGAGACCAAGCCTGGAGAAGGAGTGTTCTCACCAGCAGCAGCATCCGCAGCAGCACTAGTGGCTAACAGGCTTCAAAAGGAGTCTACAGTGTTCCTGTGTGCTCCTGGCCTGGACAGGTAGTGCTTGTTTACCAGCAGCAGTGTGCAGATGGTTTGATTCTGGGCCATGGCAGAAACTGAGCTTACCACTAGCAGCAGCAGTGACTGGCAAGCCTCAGAGAGAGTCTGCAGCTTGTGTGCTACTCGGTGAGGCAAGAAGTGTGCTCACCAACAGCAGGAGGAACAGGAGCTGGCAGGCTTCAGGAGTAGGCCTGTAGCCTGCTGGCACGTTTTAGATCAGTGTTAAACAGTGTTAATATTCTGTCTGATTAGAGTTGTTGTTATGTGCCATCAAGTTGGAACTCTTATAGATGGCCCTTCAGGGGGTTTTCAGAGGCACTAAATCAGACAGGAGGAGATTGCCCATTTTTCTTCCATGGAGCAGCAGGTTGACTTAAACCACATGCCTTTGAGGTTGCAGCACAGCTTCTTACAGTTAGGGCACCAGAGCTACTTCTGTTTTGAGTAAAAATCTTTAGCAGGAAACAATTTTTCAATATTTATTGTCTTGATGGAGACAGGACACATCCCTGGCGTACACCCTTCCCAATTTTGAACCATGCAGTGTTATCCTGCTCTGTTCTGACTACGGCCTCCTGGTCCAAGTATAGGTTTCGCATTAGCACAATTAAATGTTCTGGGATTCCCATTCTTCTCAGAGTCAGCCACAGTTTGTTATGATCCACACAGTTGAACACCTTTGCATAATCAATGAAACACAGATAGATATTCTTCTGGTATTCCCTGCTTTCAGCTATTAACAGTCTATTAATCTGCGTTATGCAGATGACACAACCCTGCTTGCCGAAACTGAGGAGGACCTCATGCACTTGCTGCG